TGACCTTGACACCTTCACTGATCTTGACATCTTCACTGACCTTGACACCTTCACTGACCTTGACACCTTTGCTGACCTTGACATCTTCACTGACCTTGACACCTTTGCTGACCTTGACATCTTCACTGACCTTGATATCTTCATGGCGTTAAGGGTGTTTACACTCTTATTTGTCACCTGTGTATTTTCTTTGGTGAGATGTCTATTCAAAGACTGTCCATTTTTGAAAAGCTAATTCAGGCATTTGCTTTCTTATTAAGCTTTAAGATTCTGTTTTGTATTTGGAACACAAGTCCTTTATCAGACACAGGTTTGTGTTTTTCATTGTCTAATCAATATCTTTCAAAAGTAGAAGTTTAAAATTTGCTAGTTGATTTGAATTGGGAAATTGAACTTATTCAAACCCAAGTTATATTTTAACTTTTATGAATCTTTCTTTCGTACTGTATCTAAGAGTTCTTTATCCGACTCAGGGACACAGAGGTTTTTATTTATTTATTTATTTTTTAAGACTTTTGCTAGTTTTTAGGCAGACATTTGGATCTGTGATCTGTTTGAGCTTTTCTGATTTTGCTTTGTTTTTGAGACAGGGTCTCCCTCTGGTACCGTGTATCTCTCAACTCTACTACGTGCATTCCTTTTCTTCATTATCCTTAGTCTGTCCAAGGACTACCTTTCCTCCTGCCTCAACCTCCTGAATGTCAGGATAATTCATGTGAGATAACAGGCCCAGCTTTGAGCTATTTTTGAAAACAGTAGAAGGTATGAATCCATATTTACTTTTGTTGCATATGAACATACAAGTCCTATGAATTGTTTTTGGTCCTTTGTTAAAAGTCATTCACATACATATGTGATCATCTATATGTATGTACATATACATACTTATATATGCACACATGTGTGCACTCACATATACACCACACACATGCATACACACCACACACATACACCACACACACACACACACACACACACACACACACACACACACACACACACACACACACACACACACAGAGCATGAATACCAGCAGCCTCTCTGTTTCTATGGATACTGGTACCCACTCTCCTGACTGCAGCTTTAACAAAGATTCAAGCCAGAGAGCAATGCATTTCCAGCTTTGTTCTTCTCTTTCAAAGTTGTTTCTGTTTCTAGATCCTTTGCATTTCCTGCTGCTGGACTTAGATGATCAGTTTTTTTTGCAAAAGAGATTGCTGGGAATTTGATCCAGATTTTAGGGGACCTAGAGATCAACATGGGGAAACTCTACAATAGCATTATGTCTTGAAGCCCATGGACACATTCTACACATTGTTCATATAAATTTGGTTGATTTTTTTCCTCTGCGATTTTTTGAGATTTCAGGTATGTGTGAGATTTGCTCCTAAGATGGTCATGTGTTTGTTGCTTCTGGAAGCAGCATTGAAAATGTTTGAGCATTGCTGTTATATAGACACTGAGTTAGTTGTAGACATGGGCCTGGTTTCCTGGGGTCTGGCTACGTCATCGTTCCTAGCAGCTTGCTGTATACCCATCCCTGGACTTCCTACCCAGACAATCTGCTGCTAGGACAGTCTTCAAGAGTAAAAAGACTTCAAGAGTGATGTGCTCTTAAAAGCAGATTTTGCTACGCGAGCGTGTATTTTTTTTTTTTTTTTTTTTTTTTTTTTTTTTTTTTTTTTTTTGCGAGTGTGTATTTTTAATGAAAGACATCCAGGGACAAGTTTCTGAGTGACGGAAGTTTTGTGAGTACACACGTGGAAACTCGGCCCTCTCTTTCCCTGCACGACCGTGGTCGGTCTCACTTTCACTTGCTGGCTGTAAATCCCACCTAGAGCATCTCTGCAAACATACAGCAAAGCCCTAGCTAGGTGGCCAGGTGCTAGCACACATTTCAAAACAATTATGGCTTTCAACTCACTGAGAGTCAGTTATGACCTTTTAAAACACTTTACAAAGCTTAATTTATAAAAGAAACAAAATGGAAAATGGAGAACCCAACTTCTACAATTGTATTGTTGAATCTCTGTCTTTTTCACAGTCCCATAGGCTTAAACATAGGAATGAAAATTTACCTTTCTGTTTTCCTTTTCCATTAGAGGAAGGGCTGGAGAGGGAGCTGAGCTGCATGGTGAAAGCTCATACGGAGCCTGCACTTTTGGTCTGTTTATTTTTGCTGGCTCAGAGAATGGTGGTAATTGACAGGGAAAATTGCTGGCCTCCCAGCTGGTACAGGCAGAGGGGTCTGGATGCACTCACACCTCACTCCCTATCTCCTGCACAGAGGCACCGAGTTGGTCCCCACAGAATCTCACTGACTTGACTCAGTGCTCTGCCTTCTTCATCCCAGGCTCCCCTTTTCCATTCTTATCTTAGCTTTCTCTCCTCCATTATCACTGTATCAATATCCTTGATGCATTAAGTGATGGTGTCACAGATAGCAAGCATTGTGTGTGTGTGTGTGTGTGTGTGTGTGTGTGTGTGTGTGTGTGTGTGGTTCTGAAAGAAACGGACAGATGAAACAACCCTCTATGTGTGTTCACCAGGACACTTGAGGTTCACCAGGACACTTGATCGTCACCTGCCTTCTCAGGACTATTCAAAATGAAGGAAGACACTGAGTGGTCACGTGGAGGACTCTTCACCGTGGTGTGTCAACTCATCTACCATTTGCAGGGTAGGAGTAGTGGGATTAGTAGGCAGGACAAGATATCTCTGCCACCATTTAATTATTTAAACAAGTTAAAAACATATTGCATTTATTTATGTGTGTGTATGCATGTGCATGGGCGTGTGTGCCATGGCATGCTTGCACAGAGGTCAGAGGACAACTTGCAGGATTCAGTTCTGTCCTACTCTTTGGGATCAATAGATTAAATTTAGGTCATCAGGCTTGGTGGCAAGTTCCTTTACCTGCTGAACCATCTTGCTGGCCCTTAAAAATACTTTTGAGTATCAGCTATGTACCAGCTTCCATGGAAACATTAAAAGTGTAATACTTTTGGATCTTTAATCAAGAAAGGTACAAAAAACTCTCTTCCTTCTAGGTGCTTATTTTCTGATGAAGATAAGAAAGAGGCTAAATAAGAGATAAATTGACTGACTTTACGTGTGGTTTGCAGAGCACATGGTGGTGTCTAAACAGAAGCCTGAAGGAGGTGAGAGAGCTGTTTAAACCTGTGTGCATGATTTCAACAGGGCGGTGCATGGTGTGACTGAGAAAGAGGGCCTTGCTGCAGTCTACCTCTGCCTCTGCTGGTACCGTGTATCTCTCAACTCTACTACGTGCATTCCTTTTCTTCATTATCCTTAGTCTGTCCAAGGACTACCTTTCCTCCTGCCTCAACCTC